CAAATAAGTGTTCTTTGGGGATACTCACATGTACGTAACTCACAGATTATAATCTTAAATCCTAAAAACAACTCATCCTGGTAGATTATGTTTTATTTATTTTTCAAAAGAGAAAATGAGGCTCAGAAGTGTTAATGATTTGCCTGAGGCTGCCCCACTAAGAGTTGCCAGAGTTGGGATTCAAACCCAGTCTAACTGGCCCAGAGTCAGAATTTCCTGCACTACAGGATCTCCATCCTCTCCATCGTCCTCTCAGCAAGAGAGGTGAAACAGGAAGGCAGAATGTGGTGCCTTGTTTGTCATCATCAGCTGGAGATACACATGGCCTGCACCTCAAGTTTTTTGACACTGTACGCACTTCTGAAAATGACTGCAAGTATTGATTTCGGGGTTAAAAAGAAATTTTAGCAAGTAGGTAAATTCGCAAATACAGAATTTGTGAATAACAGGGACAGACTATACATATAACACAGTACTTTTTATAAACTTAGGAGGCTCTTCTGCAAGAGGTTGAGGAATTACAAAGACAAGAGTATTGTTTGGTTAATAATAAAAGTATTACCGTAGCTAGCATTTATTTTTGTTCACTTGGTACCAGGCAGGATTCAAAGCATTTTACACATACATACTAACTCATTGAATTATTACAACTACCTTATGAGGCAGAGGAACCATTATCACCTTCGTTTTACAGATGAGGACACCAGGGCAAAGCAAGATGAAGCAATTTGCCCAGGTACACAGGTGATAAGTTAGTAGAACCAGATTTCAAACCTAGGTAGTCTGACTTCAGAGACTGTGCTCTTAGGAAAATAGGAAATATACAAATTTAAGATATTGAAATTATGAAATGGACATACTTTACAACGAAGGTAATTTAAAAATTTTATGTAGATGTTTACAAAACACTGTTTTGTACCAGGCCTTTGCAAGATATAGTGATGCTCAAAATGTGCCCTTTTCTTCACTGGACCTCATGATTTAGCAGGGCATTTACACAAAACACAATAAAACAAGGATAAGTGTAGGTAAAAAGGTGTGTTGAAAGTTCTAAGTAGATCTGGCTTCATAAAGGAAATGATTCAGGGTAGGCTTTAGGGAATAGGTGATGTATGAAATAGGTCTGTAAATTGGAACAATCCCGTTTTACTTGTATTTTTTTTCCTTAGCAGTTGGTATAATGTGTGGCACATAGCAGCTACTCAATACTTATTTGATAAATAAGTGAATAAATTATGACGCTGAACTGATAGAAATAAGGGAGACAGTTTAGACAGAGAGTAGAGTGTGCCTCAAGATATAGGCTAATACATGTTGAAAATATACAGGGAGCAAAAAATAGTTTAACTAGAAAACAGTAGTCTTTGAAAGGGAGTCTTTCCAGGAGGAAAGTAGAAAAACAGCCCAGGCCTAGGTTAGAAGAGGCTTGAAATTGGGTTTGATTTTATTTATTATATTTTCTTGACAGAATAATTTGAGATTATTTAAAATTCAAGGAATTTATTTATTTAGGGGGAATACCAACCTTTCTTTATTTGAATGTTAGCAAGAATTTGATCAGTCTCTTTTTTTCATTACATATATACTTTAATTTCTCCCCCCTTTTTTTTTCTTTGAATGAATCCTTCTGAGTAGTAGTTTCATCAAAGTAGCTGTGTGACTAGAACACTATGTTGATAGTTGAAACTGTCTTGTCCCCTAGACAAGGGCATTTGATTCCAAGCTTATTCACATTATCTTAATCTACTGACTTTGCATGGTGTAATAGTCACAGTCAGGAAGTATATTATTCTCCATTCTCTCAGGTCTGTTTCCTAAAGTAGAGGGATTCTATCTTCCCCTTGGCCTGGGACTCCTGTTTTCTTAAGGTGATTTAGCTTACCTACTTATATTCTGTTCCATTCTGTGGATTTTACTTTTTCGTTTGTTTTGGGGACTACAGCCCTTAACTACTTAGGCAGCTGAGTAACAGAGGCAAAACTTGGTCTCCAGGGCTTGTGCCATAACATTCCTATGAATGATTGTGGTTACTGATAAGTTTTGGCGTGTGTTCTGGGTTTAGGTTAATGTGCAATTCCAAAATAGAGTCCCAAATCAGAACTAGGGAAAAGTATCTGTCCTGCTTTCAAATTTCTACTTAAACCAAAAGTCTAGGACCAAGTTGATGTGTTGTAAATGGTATAGTTGTCTTGCAAATCACTTGAGATTCAACTGCTTAAGCATTGCATATCCCTCAATTTCTAATTCACTTAGCCCCAGGAATGAAGACCCTCAGGAACCTGTTTTTGTTGTTGTTTTACTCTTTTCATAGCACTTTCCCATCAAACACCTTCAGGTCAATAGAATACATGGCAGGAACCTTGATTTATTTTTAAGACTTTCTTCGAGAACTGTAAAGACTACATAGTACTCTATAGAAAATACTAAATACTTAGAATATTGATCAGTTAATAAGAAAGATGAAAATATAATGGTTTAGATACATTTTATTCCAGTTGAATTTTTAAGTTAAAATTTTAATCATAACAATTTAAGAAAAATTTTTTCCTCCCAAGAAAGCCAACAGTACTGTAATGTTTGCTCACAAGTAGTGTTGGGTACACAAGTCCTGTATCTCATTGACTT